CTATTGAAAGCATTTTGTGAAAATACTAAAAAGAAAGGGGAAACAAGATGTGTTTGTGAAACACTAATCCCCTGATGGTAACACAATTCTGGAGTGGGACGTAGACTACAGTGCCAGTACTAGTTATGGCCAATGTTAAAGTTTTTCAAATAAAGGTCAAAGGTCACAGTCGAGGTCACATGATCAAAAATTTCTGTACCAATGGAAAGGTCTTGTCATAATGAACACTCATGTCAAGTATTAAAGCCTTACCCTTGACAGCGCAATAGATTAAAGTTGACAACAGACAGACAGACAAACAGACAGCTAAACGTTAACAGACAAACATACAGACAGGACAAAAACAATATACCCCCGTGATCTTTTGATTCGGGGGCATAAAAACTCGATAAAACTAAACTTATTTAAGAAATCAGCTTTTTATTTTAAACTTTTTTCAGTTTTCTGTAATCTATAAAACTGGACAACTTCTATTTTATTCATCATAGTTACACAGCACATGTATGTAGTACTCCTTTGAGTAACATTCTATTTTTTTTTTTTTTAGCATCTTTAAAACTGAAAATCGAAATAGCATAGGAAACTATACTTTTTCTATTTGTTGGCAAACAAAATTTGGAGATTAAATGATATTCAGGGACCAAAAAGAAAAAAAAAAATCATTTTTCTTATTCTTTCTATTCAGCAATAGGGCATTCGTCTTGTAATTTTTACAAGGTTGCTTTTTCCATCAGTCACACTGACCTAATAAATATTCTGAATTGCTGCGACAGAAATTAATAAAATATACAGAATAAATTTTAAAATAAAATGTTCGATTGATTCCTTAAACTGGACATTGATTTATAGATTGTAGCAATGTATTTTCACATTGCTTTTTTGCCTGTTTAAGTACAATGTTTAATTATAAATTTAAAAATTAATAAAGATGGGTAAGAATGATATTTTATTAAGATTTAAATAGATTTTGATTTCAAATTCAGACAGACGGTAAATAGTAATATTCAATACAATTCCCCCATACTTTGCGATTATATAGATCATTATATTAATAAAATAGCGATTAAAAACGTGCTCGTTTTATTGATTATGAATTTTCAAACTGTTTACTGCGACATCAGAGGAAATCCATTTACATATTACTTATTGATGTTCGAAAAGAGCGTACTGGCCGCAGGTACGTGTACATTGGGTGTTTGTAACAAAAGTGAATGCAATTTTTTTTAAAGAGAGCAAAGAGTTAAAAACGAATCAATATTGTAATTGAATGGAAATTCTTTTAGCAAACAAATTCTGTTTATTCGGTTCGGTCAACTTGTGTATTTTTATTGAATTCATATTTAATTTGCGTTCGGCTTAGGCCTTAAACTAATTAAAGAGCTTTTAAAGTTGTATAAAACATTCATTATCATTGATTTTCTTTCAATTGTGCAACGAGCAGAAATTGACATTATCCGTGGACCATATATAAGCAACAAACAGTTTTTGGACTTATTGTTGTAAGTGACGAACAGATATCAACATTATCTGTGTACTATCTAAACATGTAGATTAGAGCAGCTTACAGTTTTGGATTTATTGTTAAACGTTGTAAATGACGAGCAGAAATTGACATTATCTGTGAACCATATATATGTAGACTGCAGCAACATACAGTTTTTGACTTATTGTTGTAAACGACAATTGCACGTTTGAGCTGTGAAGGAAATTACAGAGGATATTGGAGCATAGAAATGTCGACAGAGCGAATGACAAGCCGACAGGACATAATTCGAGAAAGAAACATAGCAACATGTGACTTAGCGATGCTTCTTGAGAGGAGAGGAAAACGTCAAATCGAAAAATCTCTACGACGATTGGAATTCGATGCGACATCTGCGTATGGAAAGCATGTTCGACGAATCAAGTTATTGGAGAAGGAACACAAGGAAAAGTTGTCAAACGAGACAGTCTCTAGAATGGAGAAATATTTCAAAACAAAATTTCAACCAATAGTGGGAAAACGCGAAAATCATAAAGAAGTAAATTCACCGCATCCTTGCAATAGATCATTGGATATTAGTTCACAATCGAAACTCGACATTTGTTCTGGCAAAAAATGCTTGCAATTTCCGTGTCGCAGAGAACAGACATACCACTTTATGTTTGTCACACCGCATTCCATGAAAGAAACGCGCGAATTTATCTGGCGCCAAAATACGACATTGAGTGCACGGAATTGTGAAAATGACCAAGGAGAGGAGGATTCGCGCCCATCCACTCCAGTTTCTTATAAAGGAAGCATGCATTTAGATGAGACAAAATTTTTGAATGAAAACCCGGAAAATTTTCCATCTAAATGGAATTTCACTTCACAGATCGATGTTATGATCAAAAACTGCAATCTTACTAAAAAAGAGATGTTCCTGAAAGCAACAGTTCAAAGCAAGAAAAGCGCTGTTCCAAAGAAAATTGATTCAAGTGTTAAATATGGGAAGCCATCGCCATGGCGGATATTGTTACGCCCCGTCCGACCGAGACAAAGTGATCTTGGGAGGACTTCCGGTAGAAAGATTTTAGCATTTTGAGGACTATATAGTGTTATATGAGATTTACTCAGATGTCCATTTGGGTTGAATTCTTTCCTGTTATTTTTAAAGGCATTCAGACTACAATTTATCTGTGTCAAAATAAAACAAATTATAATGTATTTTTGTAAGTAGGGTGTAATTCAGATGAAAATCATGCACACAATTAACAGTCATAACACCAAATTATATTTTAATAAAAAATTGTGGGAAGACAATACTATAAATAGAGAAACTTTTATTTTGTGATTTCAAGTGAAGACTTTTTGAAGAAAGGCATAGGTACATTTAATTTTTTCTTCATCGACAAAAATAATAATTAAGGTCACACGTCACGTTCCTCAAAAATATATAACTTTTCCCAAGAATTTCAAATTAAAATATTGCTACTTTAAGAAGTTTCCTCACTAAAAATTGGGGTACAAACAGGCATTTGTGCAAGATTCAGGAGGATGTTATTCCTCTATAATCCTATACTGGAAATCACCTGAACTGCTGATATATTTTTCTGACTTATTGAAAATAGATTAAAAATCAAAAGATAGAGATGGTTATAAATATTTTTGGTATATTACAATGAAATGCAAAAACAGATATTCGAGTAACGTGTCGTCAGACCTTAAGGGCGCCGTTGGAAATCAGTAGAAAAGTTTTTTCCTGCATCTTTTAATTGAAGAATTCCTTTATAGAGATTGTTCAGGTAACTTTTAAAAAATGTACAGGGTAAATGAATTGGACATTAAAGATATGTTAAAAGGAAATACGTGCACTGTCATTCAAAATGTGTTTAAAAAGAAATGATTTTTCTTATATATTTTACATTACTTATATATTGCCAGAATACTGTATTACATATACAGTATTACATTTAATCTTAATGTCGTTCGATTTAATTCAAAGTCATTTAAGGTGAAACACATTGTAATTTTGTTCAGGATTTAAAAAATATACAGGATCTTGAACATCCAGTGAGAGACAATCAATTTATTGACATGTGGCCTAATTATTTTTTTTTCGTTTGGTAACGATTTCTGTAAGCAAATTTCTACAGAGATTAATAGCCAACTGGTTGACCCATGGCCGGTCGAATGCTGTTTGCCGAGTGATAGGTGTTACACCAGCATTTGTTCTCGCATCAATGTATAGAAGTCATATGATGTAAATGGATTTACAATTCCATATACGAGTTATAATATCAATCGGTAATATACTTTGGTTTGAATCTATACTTGATTGGGAGTTGGGGTGTTCATTAATTTCTAGTAAGTGCTTGTACACTTGACAGCTGCATGTACCCCCTTTCATCCTTAAATAGATTTATGAATCGTTTGCAATTCATTGTTTTGTTTGTTTGTGTTTTTATTTTAGTGAGATTATAGTTTCAAAGAGCAATAAACACATAAGATTTAAAGATGTTTGCTGTTTGAAATTGATTTGGCCCTTAATACCGTGACCTTTTTCAAATTGATAATGTGTCAGTCAATGCTCAGCAAAATTTTACCGTGTGATTCCATGTACCCCGGTAAGTTCCAATTTAAAAAGCCAAGGCCTTCGCCAAAAGGGGGGTGGGGGTGCGATCGCAACCCTCTTTTTAAAGAAAAGTCAAAAATATCATTTCAAACAAAATAAATTCATTGTACATCTGTTTAAGGTATTGCTGTTTGATTTTATTTATTCAATATTTGAAAGAATTACTTTAAGAACGCACCAGAAACCACCAAAATTGTTCCAATTTATATACAATGTATATATTAAAAAAATCTGGTACCCCTGGCAGACCTTCCCCCGCACCCCCTTCCCCATTTCCAGAAACCTGGCAACGGCCCTGAACTCTCTTTTAATTGCATACATTTCCTTATTGTAGTAATTTTGGGGTTTCAGAGCATATAGGCCTCTTCCAAGGTATTCAGTGTAAAGGTCGTAATTTTTTTTTTCTGCGATAAATAGGTCAGGTCTACGTCATCTTCTCGTCGGCAAGACGGCAAGTAAGTTATTATTGAGGTCTTTTTTTCAAACAGTGCATCTTTGTTACATTATATTTGCGCTTTATAGAAATAACACAGAATTATTCTTTTCACTGTACTTTCTTTCTTTATTCATTCATTCATTCATTTCTTTAATTGTTTATATGTATTTCTTTTTCCATTTTTTTTTTAAATCAATGATTGGTAATTATTCAATTCTTCTGTTAATCGTAGAACGATCAACATATAAAACCAATCTGATTAAAATCAGATCCTTTGTGTAGCGATCTATGTGAGCGGATCAAAGAATCTGATTTTAATCAGATTGCATATAAAACAATAGCAAAGGACATTAAGTCTGTGCAAATATTTTTTCATTGAGAAGAGGAACTAAGAATTTACAAAACATAAATATATTACTCTGAAAAATAAATACATATGTACACAACAATAGGTCACTTTACTCCGATTACTGATGATGATAGTATGGATATGGTGTGGTTGAGTATCCAGCATAAGTTGAAATCGGTGGATAAAAAGCAGAAGTGGGCTCCGAAACGAACGAGGTGTTTGGGTAGTGATTTCTCTGATTTGCTACATAAGCTGAAGTTGCGTAGTTGGGATAGCTGTAGCTAGATAAACCTGCAGAGAGAGTTTGGGAGCATGGGGGTACAGCATAGAAAGAGGTCGAAGCAGCAGGACCGGTATTTGACATCATCGATCCTGTGGAACACAAGAGAGATGGTACTGGTTTTGGACCTGTGGTCGTGTGATGAGAATAAAAACTATCGTGAAATTGGGATGTAGGCAGAGAAGCATGGGGAATCTCACGTCTTGCTATGTTTGGCTTCGCTACTTCTGGCACGCATGAGCGTTGACCTTTGTCTTCGTGATGGTTTTTCTCATCAGGCGTTGCTTGACTTTCGTGGAATTCTCTGTCAAGGGCTACTTTACTGGGACCCATCAAGGACGAGAAAGAGTCGTCCAGATATGTGGGATTACTTTTTAATGCAGAGACTTGAGAAGGCACCCATGGAAGCATGTCAAGGAGAGTTCCTAAATCCTTGCAGAGATCTGTTGAGGGAGGTGGAGCAATTGGCAAAGAGCAGTTGGTAACATCTGTCTCGGTTGTTCTTTTCGGGGGTGCTTCCTCTTCAATCAGTCGAGCCGACTTAGCTGCAACTGCCAGTATGTCACCGTCATCAATTTCATTGAACTTTCTTTTCCCTGATTTAGGCATTATGGGTGTTGAGGAGAATTCGAAACTATTTGAGGCGTTCTGGTGACCTAAAATATCGTTAATACTGTAACCAACAGGAGACCGTTTGGAGACAATGGGTGGGCTGATGGAACTTTCAGAAGATGATGGAGAGCAACTGGAACCCAGGGAAGATCTTCGTGATTTATCAAATGAATGGCTACGCAATATTCTGTTGATGGAGCTGATACTTGGAACGTTGAACTTTGTACACCTTCTCTCTTTAATCAGTCTGTCTCTTATTTCCCAAGCAAACATGGTCGGATTTTCATCCTTGTATTTCATAATTATATCCACTACCTCTGGAACGGCTACCTTTGGCTTGGATCCGCCCGTCGAGCCCGCTGTGTAAGATCCAGTATTTCGAAATTTCTTCAGCAGTTTGCTAACACATCCATGTGAAACTTTAAGCTGTTTAGCGATGTCGCAGGCACGGACATTGTTCAACGACATTTCTACAATCTGTCGGCGAACAGACTCGGGGAGCGCCTTGCCATTCACATAGGATCCACCCATCTGATTTATTCCTGTTTGACCTTTTGGAATTAAAAGAAATTGAGTCAAAAATTAATAATACATCATTAACTTCATTTGGAACTGATTAATTCAATTATTTGTAGCATACACTAAAAAGATACCTGTTAAAATAAATACCCCTTAAATACCTTTTTTTTTAAAATTTTATAATACTGACAAACTACGTCCATCTCTATAGGAGTACATTTATAGCCTCACATATATAGTCATATTCATGTTTATGAACTTGAATAATACCTTGGAATGACTGGTTGGAAACATTAGTTTGAAACTTCAGGGTAGAGGAAAAGTCATAAGTTGGTACATGAAATGCTTGCTGGATGGGATAGAAAGCTGATTGTGGCAAACCGTGAAGACCTGCCATTTCTGAATCTTTTCTTTGCTAAGTATTAGAACTCAGATCAGTAAATGATGCAGAAATTCAAGCATTCATAGTTTATATACATAGCGGACTCTGTAAATGACTTCAGATTTCGACCAATGAAATTGCTCGATTTTAGGATACTGCTAAGATTCCAACACACGCGTGAATCTTGCCGCTGGATAAGAAAGTGTGACCAACGGCCCGGGTGATTTTCACGCATGTCTTGTCCCTGTTGCTGAGTAATTAATTTGTCAACACCGTAAAACTTAATGAGGCTGACCCGAAGAAATATACCACCGTAAAATTATAATTTTTGGACTTAATTTTAGAATTCTAATTTGCACAGGCATTGAATTCTTATTTTTATCATAATGAATGGTTGACGTATAATTAATTTAAAGTCATATAGGGCGTATTTTTCATAAGTTCAGACTAACTTAAATTAAAAAGATCTTTCTATTTGTTTTATTACTTTATATGAAGATAGGACTTTCCTGTAAATTACATAATTTAAATCAATCACATTTCAAAAATATTAGAAATTTAAAACAATAACCGATTTATTTACCGACTCCGCATTTAATTAACAAATACATGTAGTTTAAAATCAATTTAACTAAGGAAACATGAGGTTATTCATGTTCCAAATCGGTGAAATTTTTAATTTGAATGTAAATAACATAGATCATGTTTATCTACACTTAATCTTGTATTTTAATTTTATTTTTTTTAAGCTCACATACACCATATATAGCTTTAACAAAAGAAATTTATCAACTACACTGAATATGTTGCTTTATAGTAGATTCGAATTGCAAACTCGGATAAACGACGAATGCGTCAAATTCACTTTGGTAAAATTAAATGCGTTATCAGCATAAAACTGATGGAAAAATATAACAATTACATGATTTTAGGGTAGTTAATATTTAATTTTTTTTATCTGGACTTAAACCTTTCTCAAGGAAGAAATGAAAGTATAATTATAATAGTTCATATTTTTCATTTTGTATATTACCAGTCAGCAATTACTTTAGCTACATGTATGTAAAAAATCAGTACACATGCATGAGCGCTTTTTTTAGTGTAAAATATTGGTTTATTTTATTTTCATATATTTTTTATAAGAAAATTTTAATTATTTACGAACATTTAACTTGTTTATAGGGGTGTTTGCCTTTGAAATTCAGAATCAAACTTCGCCCTTATATGTTATTTTCTAGATCTGTCTATTTATACAACTACGTAATGGCTGTTCCGTGCACAGTGATCTACGGGAATACAAAATGTAATTGTCGGTAAAAATTTGGATATCAAAAATCATGTTATCGTCTTATTACAAGTTTGCAGTGACCAGAAAATGGCAGTATGATCATTTCCAGTCCAACAGGCAATTACTGAACTGTACCCGGAAGTGAAATAATTATATTGTCAACACTGTGAACCTTAACTATCCAGATAAATACATATATAATGATGCATGCCTGTTATAATTAATCATACTTGGTGCAATTGAAATTATAATTGACTGTGAAGATTTTTTGAAGTGTAAATATTAAGAACATGAATTAAAATAAATAAAGGACATTTTATTAACTTTCATTTTTTAATCATTCATAATAAGTATACAAAAATAGGAAGCAAAAATAATATCGTATTTCTAATGTTCTGAACAAGGCGATGAAGTGTTTTATTTACAGATGTATACGTATATCACAGAACTTATTAATTAAAACATTTTACAAGATTTTGTCAATTGTGAATTATACATTAAAAATTGTTGACATATAACCTGTTGACAAAGGGAATCATTCTGTCATGTAACAGTAGACATCAAGTAATAAGTTAATTTCAAAGTTCCAATGCTTGTATATTATGCAAGTAAAATTCATTACAACCATAGCAATATCACAATATGAATATTGAGACAGTAAAGATGTACAATTACAGCCCTCTGTGACAGAAGATACATTCTATATTTTCTTTTTTACACTTTTTTTAGTGGTATCAATCAAAATTGTTCTTCTTTTAATTTTTAGTTGTAAACTGAAGACAAAAAATTAAAGATAATTTAGTCACACCCAATGTACGTATAATGTAGAGGGACTGAACACAAATGCAACTTTTTTCATGACATTTTAAGTATATGTAACCTACCATTTCAATGGCTAATGCTGAAAAAAATCTCTGTAATCTTTTGTAAACAAACATTATGTTGCTTTTGTAATCTTGATTGTTCTGATGTGCCTTATAAATAAGTAATATAAGTGTGGCTGTTCCTTTATCTCTGATATAATTCACATTCTTTTACGTTGATGTTATATAAATATTAAGCAAAAACTGTACAGACTGTACCAGCATACAGGCATAGACAATGGCACCTATTTTGTTAAGATAGTTTGCACATCATCTTAGAACTTGTCAAATCCCACTGACACATTGTCAACAAAATATGTTCAAAAGTAAACATCATCAATGGGGATGGCACTTTGGTTCATACCTTGAATATCAAAATGTAAAAACTGTATGTATATGGTAGACAAGGTAGCTCTATCAGTGCATACTCTCTGACTGCTGACAATCCTTTATTTTACACAGTAACTCATTCCAGTTTACTACATTGACAGCATTAATTCAGCCCTCTGAGTGCAACACAAAACCATTTCCTAGTTTTAAGTGCTATTTCAGTCCTGTATCAGAGGAGTCCTCTCAGATGTGTTAATTTCATCAGAATCTGAGAACTCGGCACTCTGAATGTTTCCACTGTGACGGGGACTGGTGACGTATTCCATGTCTTTGATTGGTGTCCTGAGACAGGGAATACACTCCACGTGAATCAGTTCATTATACAGAGCTGTACCAATCAGTAAGAACAAGAACCCATCCACTGAAAAAAACAGGTCAGTATATTTAATTTCAGGAAAATATTTGTCACCAACTGCACCTCACATCCAAAATATTCAACACCTATATACATGTAAATGTATGTATACATGTAAAGTGTAAATTGGTACATATATACTAAAACGTAAAAGAGACGCAACAAGCAGTAATCTACAAATATTTGAATTTTTTATCTAATGATTTTCAAAAATGAATACATTAAGGTTAAACACAATTTAAAAACATAAGAGATTTGATAAAAATGTGATATGATTTTCTTTTAACTTTAGAAAGTAACTCATGACTGTTAAAACACCCCCCACCCCGGCCATTCAATAACAGCGTGCAAGACTGCCATGCACAACAATTGCAGCTTGATTTCTATGATGTAATAGGTTCATCAATCTCGAGATCTGAGCGAAAGAAATATTCTTCAATTGCCAATTTTAAATGCCTGTTTTTAAGATGACGAGGTCGAATTTCCTCTAGCCTAGCGCCGTGTAGTAACCCTTGGACTTCTGGTCCAAGGACTGTCATTCATGCTAATGATACGTAAGAGCCTCTTGAGGCGTGATGTATTGCATATTTGCACCTGCAACTCTCCATCACCTTTATTTTGAGATTTTTCAGCTAGAGCAATGGAAATGTGTACTTAAGTCATTTTCAGGAAGCCTTGGCATAGCTTACGGAAAAGAAAGGATAATTTATTTTTTGGAATATTGCTGCACTACTTATGATGAACAGATACAAACCATTAAAACCCCATATTATTGCCAAATGTTTTGTAAATCATGCAATTTTTGATTTCTGTTAAGTGGACTCAAGCTTTACTTCCGGTAATGTTATGAAAATCATTCAACCGTTAAATTACAGATATTTACAAAGTTGAAGATATCCTTACTTTTTAGATACAAAATTATATCCTATAGATAATATTTCCCCCTAAAATAGGATGTTGCGTTTCTTTTGCGTTTCAGTATATATGTATTACAAGTACAACATAAATGAATAATTTTTGAATGTTCATTTTTGTAGTGTTGGTGGTGACATATTTCTACACTCCTCTCACCTTGTAAAAGCCCATATTGTTTGTCAAATGGCTCACCAAAGTCCTAAAAAAAAAAAAAGAAAATATGATGGTGAAAAAAACTTCAAACTTCAATAAGCAATGATTTCACTAATTCTTTTACATATATTTTTAAAGTTACAAAAGAAAATAGACCAAGGAGATTTATATCCAATCTGCCTTTGTAACTTTATTTTTCTTATTCTCTAGAGTATTTAAAAAACAGTTGTATTACTATAGTATAATATGTTTTAAATTAAAAAAAAATCTTTTGGAGGACTTTAAGAATTTCCTTCATTTACCCTGCATTTTATAACCAACCTGAAGCATCATCTACATTTACATGTTCCCCTCTCCAAATCTTGTAATACAAGTACTGATTATCACCTTTAAAATGGGGTAGAAAATAACCAAAAAAAGTGCCCCCCCCCCCCTCCAAAGAAGAGAAATCTATATATGCAGATGTAACATACCTTATCAAATGCATAGTATATTATAAGATCCACTCCCCATACCAGCATTGTTCTGCAGGCATCAATCAAAGTTCTATGTACAGCTATGGAAAAGAAAATTACATTTTACATTAAGTTCTTTTATATATAACCAATATCCTTTTATATTTTACAATGATTCAAAATAATTGATTACATTTACAAAGTCTCCAAGCAGGGCAATGTACCATGTACCTGGTACAATGTATGTGTTTTTTTTTTATTATTTCTTTTTTTTTGTTTGTTTGTTTGTTTGTTTGTTTGTTTGTTTTTTTTTTTTGGGGGGGGGGGGGGGTGGACACAAAGATTGTAGGGTGCAATACTTTACTTCAATAAAATTACTTCTTCTAGTATACCTGTCAAAGATTTAGTCACTGCCAGTCCAAAATAGTTATAGAAGGCAATAGACGTCAGGTATAGAAGACAGAAGACCAGTAGTCTGGGCTCATTATAGATCTGATACAGGGCATCTAAGCTGTTCTCATAGCTGTTGTTTACGTCTGATCCTGGTATGTAATACATGGCCGGCAGGACAATCTGTAGGATTTAGTAAATACAGTTGTGGTTTAACTCTTAGCATTTATAAATCAACTACACAAAATGCATACAATAACAACCATAAATTATCCATGAATGCTTTTATTTATTGTTGGGAATTTACAGATTGCAGTTTCTGTAGAGATTGTGGGTGTTGTTTATATTTTTTATGAGTTAATTAAAAAAATTTGCTTTCCATTTTACACCAATAAAACACAGGGCTTAATTGACCCCTTTTGGTACAGGGTCCTGTACTCTTTCCATTGGGAATTTTAAATTGAAAAGTGACAAAATTTTGAAATATTGATTACTTATACATGATGTATTACGTTTTACTGTAGAATAAAGAGGTAGATTGTAGGTTTATTCCTTTCTCACATCTTTATGAATCATTATAATGTCAAAATTTACATTATTTTAAATGCAAAGAGTACTGAAAAAGTTGATCTGCTTGTCATTTGGGAATGTTTAGCTTAATTTTGGAAAAAAGGAGTCAATTTTCAATTGGAACATGGTCATTTCATAGGACTTGGATGCAAAAGATATTAGGCCCTGAAGCATAAAAATGTATTTTTTCCAAAATGAAAGAAAGTTAAAGTTTAAATACCATGGATTACACAGTTTTTGAGATCAAATAACTTACTGCAGACATCATAATAACACCATATGTCCCCTCCATACCAACAACCTGTAGAAAATGACAGAATATCATGTGTTGGTACTGAGAATTAAAGTTTAATTGCTTTACTTCTTTAAATTCATGGCTAGCTCATTTTTAGCTCTACTGGTCAGAGACCAGAAGAGCTTATGTGATAGTAAGGTGTCCGTCGTCTGTCCGTCTGTCTAGCTGTCTGTCCGTCCGTCTATAAACAATTTTTTTAAAACCTACTCCTCCAACATTTTTGGTCTGATTTCAATATAACTTGGCACACAAGTAGACTACACTAAGATACATAATTCTGTGTATTGGATTTTGATTTCAATGAACAGTGTTGCCATGGTCACTAAAAATAGAAATTTCTGTGAAAAACTTTCAAAACGCTACTCCTCCTACAATTTTGATCTGATTTCATTATAACTTGGCATACAAGTAGACTACACAAAGATACGTAATTCTTTGTATCCGTTTTTTATTTCGATGAATGGTGTTGCCATGGTTACTAAAAATAGAAATTTCTGTGAAATACATTCAAAATGCTACTCCTCCTACAGTTTTGATCTGATTTCATTATAACTTTGCACACAAGTAGACTACACAAAGATACGTAATTCTGTGTTTCCATTTTTGATTTCGATGAATTGTGTTGCCATGGTTACTAAAAATAGAAATTTCCTCGAAATACTTTAAATATGCTACTCCTCCTATAGTTTTGGTCTGATTTTAGTATAACTTGACACACAAGTAGACTACACTAAGATACATAATTCTCAGTACCAGTTTTGGATTTTGATGAACAGTTTTGCCATGGTTACTAAAATACAAATTTTTTGAAATACTTTCGAAAGGCTACTCCTCCTACATGTTTTGTTTGATTTCAGTATAACTTGGCATACAAGTACACTACACTGAGATGCATAACAGTCATTATTTGTTGAATGATGTTGCCATGGTTACTTAAATCGAAATTTCATTAAAATTATTTTAAAAGGCTACTCCTCCTACAGCTTTAGTCTGATTGCAATAAATCTTGCCACAAAAACAGACTTAACCAAGGATCATTATTCTATTTATTGCTGTTGCAATGTTTCAAGTCCAAGTGCTACATTTATCTTCCTTTATAAGTACAACCAGTAGAGCTACAGTCTCATCAGAGACTTCTGGTTAAGTAATACATGTATAGTATGACTGGAATACAGACACTGCATGTCAAAGAAGGTCATTCATTTAGAAGAGATAAAATTAAAATACATGTAGTATTTAAAGTCATCTTAGTGGAATTGGCCAAACATGACCAAGTCCATTTAAGAAAAACCAAACTTGAAAACCTAGACTGATACAGGTTTTGAACATGCAGCCATGTAAAAAAAATCAAAGTACTGAAACAGTACTGAAAGTAATTAAATTCATGATTTTAAAAACTTCATAATTGTTGTAGATTTTTATGCGGTTTTGATACTTACTTAAAAAAAAAGAAGAAATTTAAGATTAAACTAAATATTAATTGTAACAAAACATTAGATTCCCTCTGTATTAGAACTTTTATTAAAGCTTCGACTAAATTTAATGAAGTCCAAATTAATCTAACATTTCAGATGTAAACAAGCGGTATTGCAGTCTAATATTACACATCTGAGTAGTTGGCTTACATGTAATGATTTTTCAAAAGATTAAAATTTTCAAATGCTTTAACAGCACCTTTAATTTTGTATAGAAAAATCTTCAAATTACTTTCTTTTGTTTGATTAAGCACGTGTATCTCTTGACCAAAGCAATTTCTGCAGTCTTTCCTTTAGCCTAAATTCAATTAGGATGATAAGCGCATGGCTTCCGATTTAGATTTTGATTGTCAGTTAACTACTAGACAGGGTCACATGAACTCCTTCATGATCTCTAATAAACCATATGAAATAAATTTGTTCTAAATGTTGAAAAGCTAAACTGTATCCTTTATATTTACAGTGCTCAATAATGTTGGTGTACATGTAATTACATGAAGAGGGTGAAGACTCCTTTTCTTTAGAAATAGTTCTTCTATGACCATCTGACTGGCACTGACAACCTGACTTCCTAAGATAAGTATGATGCCTACAAGAGTCATGTACATATCCAACAATTATTGCAAGACATTCATGCAATTTTAATGTCAAAACTTCAATTAAAAAACTATTTAGATCTCAAAATATTTCAGATCTACATGTACATGTATATGTATGCAGTTGCTTAATCACGCCAAAAATTATGCAAGTGAACTACCAGTTAAGTGCAAAAATTTGATTACACTAAGTTGATTTGAACATATTATATTATGTACTGAAACATAAATTAATGGATTGAGCAGCAGGCATAGCCTATATAATTAAGCCCTCTCCAAGCTTACTCTAAGTTTATCATAGACAAACCTAAAATTGTTTTTGATCCACTGGATGAAGAAGTCTTGGACTTAAACACACTGGAACAACCAACCAGAACAAGTCCTATCATTGTTACCAGCATACCACTCCAATGGACAGCCCGCAACTTCCTCTTCAGAAAGATTTTCTAAAAAAACAAATCATTGGTTAAGTTTATTCATTTACATGTAAATCAAATGGCTCAAACATACAATACCATGGGCAATTAATAACCAATTTCAAGTCTGAACATTTTTTGACATTTTCGTAAATTATGTATCATGGCTTATCAATTATTATTTTTCTTTAATGTGAATTAATTACACATGTATTAAAACATATCTCACAGATAATATCCCAGCAAATATAATGATTGATCCTCGTAACATCTGCCACACAGAGGCATCAACATACACAAGACCAATCCCTGTAAACAATATCAGATGATATATCTATTGTATAACAATATTTAGGAAATAACTTCACAATTAATGAAAATTCATTAACATATAGCCTTTGATGAAAACGTAGCTCTTTAGGATTAGACATTTTGCTTACTCATTTACCTGCTAAAGATGTCCCAATCAGATCACAAATAGTTGGAAAAGCTACCACAAACTGTATTAATCTGAGAAAAAAATGCTTCAATAAAAATACATGTATACTTCATGTAAATAATTACTGCATTGATGCAACCTTTATTCTATGCATCATAAAAAAAAAAAAAAGAAAATTCAAAGAATTGTGGTCCCCTGCTTTCAGTGTCTTATACATGCCCAGAATCCCTATAGAATGGCTTATTCTGGACCCGTAGGGCACATCAAATATATTAACTGCTATATGTGTATATTACAAACATGCACACTTGGAACAGCAAAAATTTACCTGTTCTGAAACTGTTTTGGCAGTTCATCCAGTGGAGTTACAGAAAACTGAAAGTAAACGTAAATATGTAACTTTTGTTTATATGAAGCATTGTTAATCAAGACCTAGCTGCCTACTCAAAATGGATGTTTTCCATATAGTTTTCTATCAATTGGGAGAGTAGGCAAGTTTGATTATTTTTTTTTTTTTAAAAAGTAGTAGGTCTAGATTTACTGAAAATGAACTAATTTTCAATCTTTTTCAGCTCCCTAAACTTGATTAAATATGACTTGAAATTGAAAATTCAAAACCTTCTACATGTCCCAGTCAGCGACTAAATTTTTTTCCAAGTTTTATTTGATTTCCTGTTTTACTTATACATAAAGTATTAACAAAAATCATTTCATTTGATCAATTTAACTTCAGATGTATATAACAACATGGTAAATTAAATACCCATATTTCATAATTTTAATATTTCAAACCTCATTCTTTCTTTTGTCTCGTTCTCTTTTCCTGACGATCACAAAACCAATCAAACAAATTGTTTCACCTGAAAATATCATTTCATTTGTTCAATTTAACTTAAGGTATAACAAAAGGTCTATGATTCATAAATAAAGTAATTAGACTATATGCTTCAAATACATTTGCTTATCAAATCAATGCTTCAAGTACATTTAGCGCTCAACTTGAAACTTTAATACATGTACATAAATTAAAGATATTCAGTGTATATTTGTCAATTTCATATTTCTAGGCACCACAAATATGAGGATCGAGTCTTTTTGTATGTATACAGTAAAACTTGTTAGCTCCCCTGAGCTGAAGGCTCAAGTGAGCTTTATATGAGGATCGAGTCTTTATGTATGTATACAGTAAAACTTGTTAGCTCCCCTGAGCTGAAGGCTCAAGTGAGCTTTCCTCTGATTGAAATTTGTCCATTGTCTGTCATTGTTGTCATTGTAATGTTGTCATAAACTTTTCATCTTCTTCTCAAGAACCACTAGGCCAATTTCAACCAAAATTGAGGCAGAGTATCCTTCGGTAAAGGGGATTCAAGTTTCTTTAAATGAAGGGCCACACCCTCTTTCAAGGGGAGATAATTAAGAAAAAGTAAAAACTGGGTGGGGTCATTTAAAAATTTTCTTTTCAAGAACCACTGGGTGGGTGTGGCCACTATAAGCTATCAAAGTTTTACATGGGTATAAATAGGAAAATTAATCTTTAAAAATCTTCTTCTCAAGAACAGCAAAGCCTTGATCAGTTATATTTTTATGGAAGCATCCATGGCTAGTGTAGATTCAAATTTGTTTAAATTATGACCCTAGGGGGTAGGGTGTGGCCACTAGGGATGATCAAAGTTTACATCAGTATAAACAGGAAAAATCTTCAAAAATCTTCTCAAGAACAACAAAGCCATGATCAGTCATATTTCTATGGAAGCATCCTCAGATAGGGTAGATTAAAATTTGTTTAAATCATAACCCTCAGGGGTAGAGTGGAGCCAAAGTGGGAGATCAAAGTTTTACATAGGAATACATAGAAAAAAATCTTTAAAAAGCTTTATCCCAGGAGCACAAAAAACCATGGGCAGTCATATATATAAAAAAGCATTCTTACAGGAAGTGTAGATTCAAGTTTATTCAAATCATGATCCCAGAGGATAGAGTGGGACTAAAATTGGTGATCAAGTTTTACATGAGAATATATAGGAGAAAGAATCTGTTGATGAAGAAGGGCCATAGTAACTCAGGTGAGTGTTGTGGCCCATGGGCCTCTTGTCTAATCTGGATGTTGTGTATTCTGAAATCTTGCCTAAAGTGATGATCCCTTTAATGTATTCAAATGTTTAAAATGTCTAATGCCAAATTTGTGGAACCATTGGTGTGCAGATTAGATGAATGTATCAAAATGATAAATGTAATTGTTCATATGTGTTTGATTGACATGAGTATATGATTTTGATCAAACAATTTAATTTAATTTGTTATTTTAATGGGAAAGCTTGTAGAAATAAGAATCTCTCCGAAGATTGTTTGCTTAATTGTTGAAATATGTGTCTCAGAGTTTATTACAATATACCTTAATTTGTACAACTCCTAGCTACATTTTTTTTCCTGCTAAAGGAAATAGTGAAATAAAAAAATGTGGTGATTATCAAAACAATTTAAGTTACCGGTGTATCTGAAGTATTTGTATATGCATAGTATCAAAAGACAAATATATTTGGGAGGAGGGCTGCATGCAAAAAGCTAAAATTTAAATGATTCTGTGAAACTCTCCCAAAAATATGGAATTCAGAATGTGAAACCTTATATTATTCCTCAATCCTATTAAAATTAGGTCCTTCACATTTCCATATTTTGACACAGCTTCATCATAATGACATAAATGTTATACTACTTGATGACATATGCTCAATTTTGCCTGATGATCAAATATATATGCTACAGACAAGACCAGGTTTCAAACCAAGGCCCCGTGAATCACTAGTCACTAGTCAGGTGCTCTACCAACTGAGCTACCCAGGCTGATATCGATGGCCCAAACCACTACACATGTATGTAAAACAGTGATAAATTTAGTCCAAGAGACTGGAATATGGAAAGACCTTAACTGGGAGAGGGTGCAGTAATCTTTCACATTATTTGAAGAAAATCTACTGTATATTCTGCAACTGTATGTACATGTATTGTTTGCTACTGCATAATTTCATCATTTTGAAGCATTTGCCTCATACATGTACAAACATGTATGCACGTAAAGTAATTTCAATTGTGGGGACAGCTACCGGTAATTACTTTGAAGATTGTACAACACAAGAAACTACTGGCTCTTCACTCTTGGACCAAAATACCAGAATTCCCTTCACGGTTACTATACATAAACTCTGACAGTTACTTACCGATGAACATGATAAGGGTTTGAAACCATGGATGATTGAACTCATGTGGCTTAGAAGTGTTATTTGCTGATTTGTCTGGGTATCCTTTCACTCTTTGAAAGAGAAAAATAAATCAAAAATCAAAATTTTGAAATGTTTTGTCTGTGTTTATCTAAAGAAAGAAGATCACAATTTTACTTACGTCTCTGCAGGGTTGTAAAATGCACAGGTGATCAAATCAGCTTAAACTGATGTAGATAGTTTTTGTATGACATATTTTCCCTTCGAGTTATTTCTCTTGGGTGCCATCTTGGAGGTCAAACTAGTAAATTTTCCTCTATGAGCAACCAATTTTAAACATGTATGGCAGAAATATAAGGGCAAAAATCTTTAAAATACTAAAATTTTGAATTAAAGAAAGCTTTTGTTAACATATATTGTTAGAAGAACTGTTAGCTTCACCTCATTGCCCAATATGACAAGTTTAAATTGGTTGAATAATGAAGGAATTTGGGCTTGTTGACATCCAATATGGTGATTAACAGGAAATAACTCTTGCTGAAATCACATCTATTGAAAACCTGCCATTCCTGGTACCTGAGGCTTGTTTAACAGAGCAAGCACTCACGAACATTTCTGTTGGAGGGATAAGGAATTTTGAACGTTCGCTCTGTTGAACAGGCCTCAGGTACTGGGAATGGCAGGTTTTCAATAATTTTCAATAGATGTGATTTCTACATATATATATATATAGGTCTTACACATTTTCGTAAAATTTGCATCTAGACAGTGTAGTTGGGTTATATGGAAAAATTATTTTACTTGCAAATTATTTACTTGTGTCTCACATTTATTAATTGCACTGTGAAAGGATAAAATGAAGACAAGGAGGTAAAATTTGACTTAGTAGGTTGTATTGATAATTTTTTATGATAACCAAGTCTGTTTTAACATCACTGGGCACAGATAAGAGAATAGCAGTAAGTATTGAAGTAAAATTATTATCCCGTGTCCAGCTTCATCATCTCATTGACTGAGCATGACAAACCAAAGGAACAGTAATGGAAAAGACCTGTATTAGTTGGTATCATGCAGGGAAAGAATCTGTGAAATGTCAGCTAGATTAGAACACAATAGTTAAATTGCATAATTGTAAATATCTTTTGAAGTAGCTGTATCACAAATTAATAAGTTGGCAGTGGCTATCACTGATTGACTGTGACCACACCCTTACTCTAAACATATAGACAGACCTGGATTCTCTAATCACACCACAACCAGCCAGTGTCATAATGACTCAATCACCATGGTCACCGATAGAGTTGCATGCATTTGAGGACTCATAAATCTTGACCAAGATTTGACTTGGCTTAATATTGGACTGACGCTGCCATCGACGGCTTCAGTACAAAATGCTGCCGTCACGGTTTCAGTCTAAATATCCAGCCGAATCTGAGCCAAGATTATGTGGATCCGTTGTCTGCATGGTCTAATGTCATACCTAGTACATGCATGAACATTAACCAAAGCATGTTAACCATGCATAATTATGTTTATCAAAGTAGAAGTAAATCCTTAGTCAATTATGAAATATATATAATTAGTATACTGGTGTCTCATTATATCGCGGTACTTAATTCTTTAGCATAAAAAGTGTAATTCCAAATTTTTACTTTAACCTTTCATCAAATGATATTCATAAACCTAACTATGGCCTAACTTTTTAGTGTCAAATTATTTTCCAAGCTTGCATCGTTTAATTTGTAGTCTATTTTTAAAACAGGAAGTCTTGTTTACCTCCTAAATCAGAGAGTCTCAATGTATCACAGTATGGGAAAACATAGAAGCTTGTACTTGACATGGACTTCAATTTTTAAATTTACGATGTACATGTAATTCTACATGAAAACTAAACAATAATACAAACTTAAGACTTTCAAAATATTAACTTTATTATGGATTTTACAGGTTATAAATTCAATGGTCTAAATAAAATAAAAACGGGAATGGAAATCTGTAAAATTACGTTTTATTTGAATAAAAAATTTTCCAACGGATGTTCCATACTTTTTAATCATCACAAAAGTCAACATTCAGACGACAGACAGATAGTCCATCAACAAAAAGGATATGAGCTATGTATCCGAATTTTTGAAATATACCGCGATACAATGGAACCCGCGATATAATGAGAATTGAGGATACAAGTTGATTTATTTTCAACATTTGTCCTAATTTTTTTTTTAAACCTTGACCAGATATTGAACATAATTTTCCAATCAAATTTAAACAGTAAAAGAGAGTCGTGCTTCTTTGCATACTTACGTACAATCGTTTTGTGCTTTTTTACTTAGTGTATTAATACTCCCAGTTACCAGCATCCCTACCATCAACACTATCTGCATGCAGGAGAACGCCATTTTCCCATCATGTGACTTTCAGCACCAAATTTGATCACGTGATTTATTGCATTTTTCTTTTTCTTTCTTTTTTGCATCTTTCTCAAAAGTGTATGTATGCCAACCCTGATTTATTTAATTTTTTTCTGAAATAAATAAAAATCACAAAACATCCTAAATTATTAATCATGTTTATGTATTGTGTATTAGGTCGGGATCGATGACAGGAGAATACGAAACCAATCTTGAATGACTTAGCGCCAAAAATAGGCTTTAAAAAAAAGCAAGGGTTTAGTACGAAAGCGAAAGTATTAAGAGATAGTAGTATTCTGCTAAAAGGGTGTCCAGGTAAAATATTTTTTTCTTTGTAATGTACTTAGACACTTCTTTGATGTTTATGTTCGGTACAAGGTTCATGTGATAGTTAAGCCTAGGGCCTGGCCCCTTCTATAATCCTTTGCAAATGTTTTAAAATTACGGCCCGTGAGACTTTCAATTTAACCAATTCATTCTATTACGCGCGTCGGATCAAAGAGGCATCTTATCCGCTCCGTTCTGTGAAATATATGTGTAATAGAGAATATAGCGGATAAGATGTCCCTGTGATCAGATTCTATGAAATTGAAGACAACAGTTGAACTTTTTACTTTCGTTTCTCTAGGATTGTAAACAAATCAAAGTGACTTACCTTCTTTATATTTTAATACCGCGATATTGATTTTCTTAATAAAACATTTATTCTTCGTTTTTTTTTTAAATTTCCATATGAAATACATTGTACAGTAATTGTGTACTAGAAGCTTAATTTATGAAAGACAAATAAAAATATCCTTGGACCTGAGGTTTACATTCGGGAGGGTGGAGGTCCTGTTCACAAGCACCTGTGTTGATAACCCAAACTGAATGAAACAAGTGCCTTGGTTTGAGCAATAATGACAAGGACGTTTAGCTTTTGCAATAAAATTTCACAAGGCACACATCCGATCTATTTCTGCAAATGGGACAGATCAGTAACAAAGGATGACTGCACTTAACGCCTGTTTTGGGGTCCTTTTCGGTTGCTTTTGCAGAGCTCCAGATAATTTTTTACCTCAAAGTGTATTTACTCCCTGATTTTCAAATCAATGCAGATTTTACTTTTCAGCAAAATCTATATTGCTATTTTTGACATCCAATGTGTTTTTAGATTGTTATCGAAATAAGCGTTTTTGAAAGAGGAATGTAAAAAAAGAACAGTTTCTGCATTTATCAATTAGGTTAATGAAATATATTAGGATTTGCTATATAAATTGTTGGCATCGCTCGAGGTAAAAGTTACTCCCCGTTTGCATTAAAAGTCGCGTGGCGCTATTTATAGCAAAGGAGCCATGTGGAAAGCCAAAAAGCATTTATTTTCATACAATTAATAAAGGTTGTCGGCGGACTTTAGATGATATTATTGCTACAGAAAATGGTAAATATATAAGAACTGTTTAATATACAGTGATAAAGGATAAATTAGACACCATGCGTCTTTTTGCAGAATTTTGACAATATAGACGCGTACGCATCAAGAACGAAAATTTGGATGTTATTTGAACAGTAGAAATCTGTGATATTTTCAGACAAAATGCGAGTATTTAATATTCAAATCTTTCTCCCGAACTGGAAATCAGCCTAGGTTATTCCGAATACGCTTATAAATCAAAATTTTATTTTGATAAAAATTCAAACACTGAGCTGACCTCAATTCACATAATTAGTACTTGTATCATTCAATCTGTCGTACATGCATGCAGTACTTTTGTAGTGTAATGCTTATTTATGATTGCTAATGCGTAAGTGTACGCCCTGTTTTAATTTTCAATGCGTATTTTGAAAAAATCAATGCATATTTCTGCAAATACGCACCTTATCTGGAGCTCTGCTTTTGTTGCTTTTATATCTAAACCTTATTTCACTTTTGTATGTTTATGAAAGAATCCTGTCAATTTGGAACCAAATTTAAATCTTAAAATGATTTTAGACTGTGATACAATAAAGTGATTCAATGTTTTTTATCCTTACTGCTTTCCAAATATAGTGAATTTACACTTACCTGCCCTTGATTGAACATTAGATATGCATGGGAGGTGGAGCTAACATTGTAAGAATGGGTCTAAAATTAAACTTGATAAATAACAATGGCATGTTTGAAAAAAATTACGTGATCACTCTTTCCAATCTCCCTCTCCATTCTGTATGGTACAAATACACTTCTGACAAAGGTTTTAAAACGAAATTAACAATATGAGCACGTCAATGTGATTAAAGCAGATTTTATATCAATGCCAGATGACTTACATGTAATGTGTTCGAACACAATGTCCTAGTTAGCACAAAACATGCTACCTTACAAGTCACGTGACGGAATTTAGTATTCACAAAGTTACCTGAGGTAAGAAATCATGTGGTGAATCATAATATTCAACATGTCACAGTCCTTGGTTACAACACAGAGAGCAAATGTAAGAAGAAGCAGTTTTTTTCTCTTTTTTTACCATGAGCGCATATTTGTCTATTAATCTCCTTTTGACACATTATTATTTATGCAAATATACAACTACTGTTAAACGTAGAACAATAGACAAACATGCCCTGAGTCCTATGTATAAAGTCAGTGAAAAAGTGGGCGTCCTCATTATCGAACGGAGATTCAAGAAATTGTGAGGACCCCTCCCTTTGAAAACAGATTCGAACTTCATAAATACACACTTTTATTAATTTAAAATGTAATTACATAAAGTTGTAGATTGGACGTTGACCATTCTTGCAATGAAAAGAAAAATGCTTGTTTTGAAAGTTTATTTTGTCGCAAATTTCGCATGTCCTTAAGTGCAGTCATCATTTATTGTTATGCAAGAAAATTTGACAATTTAGATTGGACTCACTCAGGGGTCTGACCATATCCTGAACTGGTACTCAAGAAAATTGCTTAAACAAATGACTAGTCATACTTTTATATGTCTTGTTGCTATGTTCCCCCTTGTAATGCTGATTGTAGTCATTAAATTGATTGATTTTATATAGATATCAGATTATCCTAATATTTTTATTCACTCTCTTTTAGATTCACAAGAAAATGTCTTCAACATCACAGAAACACAAGAATTTTGTTCAGGAGCCAATGGCAGAAAAGCCTGTGACAGAATTGGCAGGCATTGGACCAACACTTGGAGGAAGACTTATTGAAAATGGTTTTGATTTGGTTTGTATTGTTACTATTATAATAAACTGACTGTGTTTCCTTATGAAAAAAACCATTGTAATAAATATAGAAAAAAATGATGTCTGTGGTTATGAGACGTGTGTGTATAGATGTTCCTGTGATGAAAAATATATATATGCCCCCTTTAAACTCTTGAACTCGATGGGGCGAAGAAAAAAACTTCGAGATATCCGAGGATTCGAGATATCAGTTACCGTGACTTCCAAATCATTTCGACGTATCCATGATATTCAAAATATCGGTGTTTGAGATACCGAAGTTCAACTATAGATCTATAACTATATTTTATATTGAAAATAGTTTCCTGGTGTATATTCTCATTAAAATTGTAGAGATTTTTTTATTTTGCTTTACTTCCTTTATCAAATTTCAGTAAAATCTGGATCATGTGATACTTGCTCTAATGCTAAAAAAACCATTCATATTGGTGGACTTTTTTTTAAAGGGCCTGGACACAGTTGCATTGCTGTTTCATGTACAATTTTAAATTTCTATTTTTATTTAAAAAAAATAACTTCAGTTTAATGAATTGAACTTTATTGAAAATTTTTAAAATTCAGTGACAAGACCTTCTTCATCACAGTATGTCAAACATCTGTGTTTGTAAACATGGGCAGGAGTATTGTTTATGTATTAATACACATTTTACTGTGTGTGTTCAATTTGTTAACTCTACACACGTCACTGAACACGGACTGACAGTTTTGCTTTCTCTCATATCGACTCTAAATTTTCTGGATTACAGATTTAAATTTTTTTCTTTATCAATACGCAAGAACTTTTCCATTTTTCTTAAATATTAAAGATAAATTTTACTTCATGAAAGTTTAAGGATGTGTGTCAAACAAATATGTCCAGAAATTCAAAGTTATAATTTTCAGATAAAAGAAGTTTCTAAACACGCTTTTATAATACATCAGTCTGAAATGCTCTAACAACATGTAAATATTCTGAAAATTTTAGAAAATATTAACTTCAAATCTGTGTCCAAGCCCCTTTAAGCATTCCATATGACTGTGCAACCAAAAATTATATAGCATTGCTTGTGCTTCAAATATTGTATAAATAAGGCAGTCAAGAATTAAAAATATTGATTTATATATGAAAAGCTCAACTTAAAGTGTACTCTGTTAAATGTATTTTTTATTTTTCTCTCTAGGCTTATGTAGTTCTGGGACAGTTTTTAGTCCTGAAGAAGGATGAAGAGATGTTCAAGGACTGGTTAAAAGAAGTGTGTGGTGCCAATGCTAAACAACAGGAAGATTGTTTCCGGTGTCTTAAAGACTGGTGTGACAATTTCCTGTGAAAAAGTAATAATGCAAACTTACTTGGAAGCCTTTCATCAGTGAAGATGGGAATAGGTCATTTATACATTACCAACTGCAAACAATTATGAAATGAGCATTCTTAAAGTTGCAGTAATATCAAATAATACTGTTTTATTTAATTTTTTATGTTTATGTAATTAAGGTTTTTAATGTTACTCATGTTGATGGAGATCAAAAATTAATTATTTGCTCTATATATAATTAGGAAGATGATAATATGTTAGTGATTATATGCTTATTATCTACCCACGGTATTAGAGTTTGTATGCATTCATGGTAACATTGTTGCAGTTTGTGCTTCTTGCTTTAATCAGCAGGAGTCTTGCAAGAAATTGTACCGTAGTTAACCCCTAGAAATTGTATCAGTCCAACCATTTAGTTTTCCCTTTTCCCTCAAAATTTTGTTTTCAGATAAAATATTATGTTCAAATTAATGTTTTAAGAGTAATTTTGGTTGTCCATCTCTCTGGTTCTTTTTCCTTAATTTAATCTTTTTGTACTTTCATGATTGCTGTCACCCCCCATCATTACTATTAATTATACAAGGTTTTCTTCATTGGGGCCTTGCTGACTGGTCATTTTTCTTGAAATCTTATCTTTTTTTCTCTATGTGTAATGCTTAACAATTTGACGTATTTGAAGTTCAATAGTTAATGTGTACAAATTGTGTTGTGGTATATTGTATATCAATATTACAAAAAAATGCCTAAGCTGAGATTATTGTTCTTTTGTTCATATTGTCATGTTTCTTCCTTTTAATCAATTCAAGTGACATATTAATTTAAAATCCTTTCCAATATTTAATCTACCATTGCTAAGATTATATATGTAGCTGATGATTTTAAAGACTGGGTTTTTTTCCTCATTACATTTCATTTTTATGCCCACAATATAAATACCAGTAAAAAAAGATTGAATCCCATATAAATGTGCATTCAAAAAAATGCATAAAGAATAGTCAAGTACTAAGAAAAATAAATAGTTTGCAACAGCATTAGGATATTATGTGAATGCCCTCATATTTTGTTATTTAAGGACAGATGATGCAAACAGAAAATGGATGCCTGGATTGGAATATATTTTTGGACCTATTTTGGTTGTAATTGATGCAAATATCAAATTTCTAAAATATCAAGAAATTGTAAACTTTCTATGATGTTCAAAATTCTACCTTTCTGCAATCACCCTTATAAATCTATACATTTTCACTATATAGGACATTATTGTGAAATTTTGAATGAAAAATTAAAATCTATGCGGTTAAACTTACTCATTATACTTAAATAAACATGACTAAAATGGTTATTTTCTTGGTTTTTGAAAAAAAAGTTTGTTTGTGTCGTCTGTTCTTAAATAAAAGCACTTGCTATGATAACATTTCTTCTAATAAATCACAAACCAGCCAGATTGTGAAGCAGTTTCAGTCTATGGAGTATTTTCGTCTTTCTCAACAATTTTTAGTTAGACACTCATTTTCAACGTTGTGCTTGTCCCTTAGTCAGAAAGCTTGAACGTTTTCAACCTCTTCTCAGGAACGGCTGAACAAATTTTAGCCAAGTTTTAGGTCACCTTCATGAAGTTGAGATGAACTAATGCTACACCTCTGTGTAGTAGGCGTTCCAACAGTTTGCTGGACCAAAATTGCATGCATTATGATTAATAAATGCATGCAAAGATCCCCCCCCCCCCCCGATTTTCAGTGTTATTTAAATAATAAAGTAATCGAAAGGGACTGTACTCCTGTAAGAAACAAGGGTCCCTCGTAAAGTTGGTAGGAAGAGTTTTTGCGATTAGACAAGAATGTAAACATTTTTGAGTCAGAATTATTTTGTTTTAGCAAGTAAGCCCCCCCCCCCCCCTACACACACCACCACCACCACCACCTAAAATATTCTGGATCTGGCCATGTAATGAGTACTCAACCTTTTACAAAACTTGCGAAATTCATGGCCCTAGAGCGGGGCTTAGTTGGTACATAGGTATTTTATTGCATCATTGAAAATCTCTTCCCATGTCATATAATGAAAAAGCATTATAAAAATCGGTACAAAGTGATTGATGCAAAACTTCAAATCGGCCGCAAATAAAATTAAGCATTTTAAAAAAAGTACTTTCAAAGTGAAATAAAAGATTTTCAAAGCTGAAGAATGTACAAATTTTTTATTTCAAAGTATCCCCCCCCCCCCCGCCACCAAAATGAAATTTTAAAAAAACGCACACACACAACAAGTTGCAAGATAGACAATTCAAATGGCACATACTTTCAGTACAACTGATTCATCAAAATCGGTGATAAATGTCATGAAATTTTCCACCCTGGATGTTCGTCACGTGATGATACCAATGATTTCTGGAGATGCACGGCGCAGTGATGGACAACAACAAGAAATCCAAAGTGTAGAAAAAATATCGTTGTCATTCGCAGCTGTAGCATATTCAAAACAATTTTTCCCAGTTCTACCAACTTTTCAGTTTTATATATTCATAACTGTTTCACACTGTAATTATTATCCAGAAAATCATAACGATTTATGCAAGAGCATGGTCTACGTATGAACAATTTCTAAAACGAGGCAAGCTATTGACAAACAAGTTGATGAAACAAGGATATCAACAGTCTCGTTTGAAGTCATCTTTTCGCAAGCTTTACGGACGATACAATGACCTTGTCAGCACATACAACCTATCATTGAGTCAAATGCTGACTTACGTTTTTCATACCAATTGTTAGGCCATTATTTATACACTGAACTGTCTACGGATTTCTCCGTTATTACCCGATCATGACAAGGAGCACACGGCAGGTGTGACCGGTCGGCAGGGGATGCTCACTCCTCCATGGCACCTGATCCCACCTCTAAATTTTGAGATCCGTGTTGCTCTGCTTCAAATTTGTATCGTTTCATTGGACTTTCGAGCTTGAATGCTGTTCGTTATCTTCATATTTCATTCGACAGTCATCTCATACATGCCCAAAATCTCCATCCAAAGCGCTTGTTGGCTTTCTGGTTGTTTGAAATTGAGGAGCCATCGTAGCGAGCCATGATCAGTACGGACCACAGATCTCCGTCCAAACAGATAGTGTCTTTAAGTATTTTACGAAACAGACGAAGCTAGTCGAACACTCAGCAAGGCAGAGCGATACTCTAGGACTCTCTCAGATCCGTTCTGGCTCTGTGATAAGACAGCTCCTATGGCCATGTCGCTCGCATCTGGTCAAGAACGAAAGGCTTACTGAAGTCAGGGAAAGCGAGTATGGGTTAATTAACCAAAAAAACTTTTCAATTTATCAAATGCCGACTGACATTCCTCAGTCCACTTAAATTTGGCATCTTTGTTTGTTAGATTGTGTAAAGGTTTTACAATCTTTCCGAAGTCTTTCACAAACCGCCGGTAGTAGCTGCATACCCCAGTGAATGATCTCACTTCTTTAATAGATGTCGGTTCTACCCAGTGTTTGGTAGCTTCTTCCTTTTTAGGATCTGTTGCTACCCTAGCCTTAGAGATAATATGTCCAAGATATTCAGCTTTCTGTCCAATTATTTCTTTGCTCTCAATTTGAGCCTAGCTAACTGTTATCGATCAAAGACCTTCTGGAGATTCTCTGTCATTTCTTCAAAGGTTTTGCTAAACAATCATCGATATATATTTTACACTTATCTTCTGGTTGTGAGTGGGATAGCCCTTTTATCAAACCCGCGACAGGGACTATTCCTCGAGAGCTTGCCCGAGGGGGATAGTTAATGTCAAGGGTTTGATGAAAGAGCTATCCCACTCACAACCAGTGGATAAGCGTTTCATTATACTGATGTATATCATAATTTCTGAGGGTTGGATTACCTGATACTACAGTTTCATAGAAAAAACATGAAAAGAATAATTATAAGAGTTTCGAACAAGTATTTGGATTAAGATAACACTGAAAGAATGAGCTGAAATCCTGAGGTCGTCACAATGCTACTGACATCATCAGTCTATAGATGATCGCAGGAAGTCAAAATTGGTCTCAAAATTGAATGAAAATTTTCCGAGGGTTGGATAGCACAAACTACACCCCGATAGCTTTGCTAGACGTGAAATTTTCAGACTATAGAAAAAATGTTACTTTACTTTCTTAACTTTATTTAGGAAATGTTTTACCAGAAGTATGATAAAAGACATATCTCCCATTGGAGACCACACAGGACTGTCTCCATGAGCCGTTCGAAGGTCGCTGGAGCATTGCAAAGTCCGAACGGCATTACCTTGAACTGATATAAACCCTTTTTTGTAATAAACGCTATTTTTGGATCTACTTCAATTTTCCAATATCCCGATGAGAGATCAAGGGTTGAGAACCAGCAGGATCCTGAAAACAGCAGGATTCAAGGACTCATCTATCCTCGGAAGAGGATAGGCGTTCTTGATAGTAACGTCGTTCAATTTTTCTATAATCTACGCAAAATCGAAGGCTCCAATCTTTCTTTCGAGCAAGAGCTACTCTGGCCGCCCAAGGACTTGTTGATTCTTCCATGACATCTGACTTGAGCATCTAATCAATTTGTTTGTCTATACCGGTATTGTCCTTCCAATGAACAGGAATTCCTTGAAGAGGCTGTCTTACTGGTACTCTTCACCCTGTATTTATGGAATGCATTACAATATCTGTCCCTTCCAAAATCACTGTTATCTTTAGAAAAAAAAATTCACATTCTGCAAGAGTAATGATCCGTCTATTGCTGGCTCAGTCCCTTGCTTGGTCTATCAAGCAATTCTCTGAGAGCTTTGGGTAATTCCTTCAAATGTTTTATTGGTGCTTTATGCGATCCCTCTACTATGCCATCAGCTGGTGTTAAGTTTGCAATGGCAGTTCCACTATGGATGACTTGTACGTTTGGACTATGATTGATCAGTCGACAACGAAGGAACCGAGTTTTGGTTTGTGGCAAACACTTTGCCAATTATCCCTCTTTCAGATTTTAAAAAATCTTTATCTCCTCTAGTATCCCTAAACCTCTTGGCAATGGCTCCTTGTAGCAACTCGAGACAATTTCAGATCTATCGATGGTGTCTGCCACAGTAGTAACACGGTAACATCCAGTATGACCCGCTTTATTCAAAGGTGAGGTTTTTCCGCTAACATCCAAAATCTGAGTTGTCAAGTCGACAACACACTTATTTCCGATCAAAAAGTTAGTCTAACCCTATAATTGCATCGACAGTCAACTCTCTAAAAACAACTTCGGTGCTATACAAGACAATACTTATAAGGATTGGGACACCGAGTTTCCCATTAATTGTAAGAGGGTCATTCCTTGCTGATATCACTGGTTGGCTGACTTTCTTTAAAGTTTCAACTGAGTTGTTGTTTTCGAGAAGTTTATCATATACATGTTTAGTCAAAAGAGACAGTGTAGTTCCTGTGTCAACCAATATATTCAAATCAAAACCATCAATAGATGCTTTAACAAAAATACCAGCATCCCAAGTAACCCTTACTTTTTCAGGAGACTCCTTTTTGCATGGCTCTTTTGTTTGCTTTGTTCCTCTCTGCACTGCATTGAAATTCTGGGGCTTTTCTTTTTGAGATGTCCCATCTTGCCACAGTTATAACAAGAAGCGTCTTTCTTCCAATCAGTCTTCTTTGTCCTTTTGTCCTTTTCTAGATCACCATGTTTTGTTTAAGCTCTTTGAGCTCCTCCAATGGACGTCATCGCCTTTTGAAGATTCAATATGGTATTGTTTACCTCTTTCAACTCTACTTTAATTCATCCCTAGATGTGTCCTATCCAACAGCTCTCAAAGATGAATTTACGCCTCCTAATTTGTGTTCAGTTTTCAGGAAAGCCTCTGGTTTTGCATTTGACTTCTGGACGATATGGTGTTCATTAAAAACTCTCCGTCAGTTTCATTAAAAAATGTCAGTAACTTAGATCCGCCAACCGTGCCCACCACCGTACTCTCTTTTTTTTGCGATTTCAGCGAAAGTAGACTTTTAATTTAACTCAAGATAATAACAATGCGAATGAAAT